CACAAGAAGGACATGGAACAGTTGGAGCAGGTCCAGAGGAGGGCTACTAAAATGATCCGAGGGCTGGAGCCCCTCTGCTATGAGGACAGGCTGAGGGAGTTGGGCTTGTTCAGCCTGGAGAAGAGAAGGCTGCGGGGAGACCTGATTGTGACCTTTCAGTGCTTAAAGGGGGCCTCTAGGAAAGATGGGGAAAATCTTTTTAGTAGGGCCAGCTGTGACAGGACAAGGGGTAATGACTTTAAACTAAACCAGGGTAGGTTTAGACTGGATATAAGGAAGAAATTCTTTCCAGTGAGTGTGGTGAAACACTGGAAGGGGTTGCCCAGAGAGGTACTGGAGGCCCCATCCCTGGAAACTTTCAAGACCAGGTTGGACGGGGCTCTGAGCAACCTGATCTAGTTAGCGGTGTCCCTGCTCCCTGCAAGGGGGTTGGACTAGATGACCTCTAGGGGTCCCTTCCAACCCAAAACATTCTATGTTTCTATGATTTAGGAATAGATTTGTAGCAGATACATTTATCCAAAAATGGATGCACAAAAGTACCAGACTACCCCACCTTGCTTCCATAGACAGAAGCTGGTAGAAGTAGAATGTCAGAGAACATAGGTTAAAAACTATTCAAAACTGATAGAATCTGGAACTAACAGCAGTTCATAGATTTTTCTTAAATTGGTGTTGAAACAGCCCTTATGCTTGTTTTGGCAGCAGTGCCACCTGAGAGCAGCTGATTTACCTGCCCTGGTTCTTCCTATGCAAAAGCCAACTCTCGTGTGTGGAGAGAGGATTTAGGTGTCAGCAGATCAGACCCTCGGCATTGCACTGTTGGCACAGTTACGAGTGTGTTAGGAAATGGGCGCTTTCTCCACAAATCAGCTTCTTTTGCTTGGGTTAAGATTCATCCCACTTGTTATTAGGGACTCACTAAACCCAGCTGTGTTGATAGTGGAGGAGGTGGGAACTCCCCCTGGGAAAAGGGTGTCCCCAGAAATCAGTCTGTTCACCCTGATGACTGCTCTCCTGCTGATGGTGCTTGGTTGAAATGTCTAAATTTGGGCTGGATGATGAGCCCCTGGGAAATATGGGTGCACAAAAATAATTCAATAAGATCTTAATGCATGGGTGTCTGGCACAGGGAGTAGCTGAGCATGAAGGGAAGCTCGAAAAGGCAGCTTTAGAGGGGCTGGGGTTATTTATAGAGGTTGTTATGTGGAAAGGTTTCCTTTTTCCTTATCCTCATCTTCTGAGAGGGCAGAAAAGCTCCTGCTCTACCAGGCAGGAGGGCTGGCAGCAGGGGAAGGGGAGTCTGGGGAGGAACCACATTCTGTGCTGGTCCCCGGTGGGATATAAGGAGTTGGAGGCAGGGAACTGAGCACATGTGCTGTAAACATGCACACAGGTGATTTAAAGGCAGTGATGTTCGGGCCAAGAGAAACCCACTTTATCAGATTGATAGCCTGGGAGCCTGACTCTATTAGTGGCAAAGTAAAAAGAAAGCCCATTTGTTTTTGTCTAACAACCTTGTTTTCCCTTTTTCAGAAGAATCTGACAGAGCTGAGGTCCTTTGGGTCACCACCTTCAGCTGTCAGCAATGTCACTGCGGCCGTGATGGTGCTGATGGCCCCGGGAGGAAAGATTCCTAAGGACAGGAGCTGGAAAGCAGCAAAAGCCTCCATGGCCAGGGTGGATGGCTTCCTGGACTCCTTGATCAAGTTTGACAAGGAGAACATCCACGAGAACTGCCTCAAAGCCCTTCAGCCTTATTTGCAAGATCCCAAGTTTAAACCCGAATTTGTGACCACCAAGTCCTATGCCGCAGCTGGCCTCTGCTCCTGGGTGGTAAACATCATGCGCTTCCACGAGGTGTACTGTGACGTGGAGCCAAAGCGGCAGGCTCTGAGCAAAGCCAATGTGGAGCTGGCGGCTGCCCAGGACAAGCTGGCCAGCATCAAGGCCAAAATTGGTGTAAGTTCTTGCCCTTTGGTGGGACCCATCACGCCAGTCACTGCCTGGGGAGAAATCCTCCGCTTTGGAGAAAGCTGCTTCTCTGCACTCCTGTATTTGTAAGGGCAGGGTGGGAATCCAAAGATTCAGGAGACTGAAGTCTTTTCTATCCCTTTTACTGCTGCTTTCTACATTTCATCTGTTCCTCTCCAGCCTTGTTTACACCTTAAGAGGAAAGCTAATTATTAATTCCTATTATTACTACCTAATTTTTAAAATGTAATTTACCTCTACTCATGGGTCATCAGAAAACTCATTATCTCAAATCTGTATGTTCCCAGTGTGCGACACAGTGCCAGGGAAGAGGAACCAGAGGCTGATTCAGAGCGCTGGGAGCATGGCACTGGGCTGGGCTGGTTCCCTGCGCTTGGTCCCTGGCGATGGACATGTTTTGCAGGATGATGACTGCTCTAAGAGGAGTCTAATAATTTGTCACAGCACAGCTCCCTGTTGGCATATCTTGTGCATCATCGTTATTAGATTTTTGCTACTTAAAAAAAAATAATATTATGGAATAGAAGAAATTACTGTGTGATTAAAAGTACATTTCTACAGAGAGCAGCTTCTAAGCCGTTCTCCGTTTCCTTTGGAAAACTATCGCTACGTTAAAATGCATACTGCTCTTCTCTCTCCCTCCCTCCCCGGCCAATACCAGTTAATAGTAAAGTGTGGAAACCAGCCCACGGGGACGCCACCAGCTGGCCCTCAGATGGGTCCCATCACTCACTGTTCTCCAAGTCCTTTCTGATGCAAGCAGCTCATGCTCCAAAATCTGCCTTTTATTAAGGTGCTGTGAATCTGGAATCCCTCTTTGTGAGTGCTTTCCTACTGATACCACAGCTCATGCAAAAACCCTGTTAATAACCAGGGTATGTTGTCAGCTGGGCTGACAGATTTGTATTTAAATAAGTGACTTTGAGATACGCACCTGGAGAGGGGCAGCCCAGTCCCTCCAGCTGAGCTTGTGCGCATACTCATCTCTTCCACCAGCAGATATTCATGTTGGAAAATACATAATTCTTTTGATGCTTCCTAGGGCTTATTATTCTTAAAATGCTCACTACATTTTAAACTAAAAATGTATAAAAAAAAATATAGTCTCCTGAGTTCTCCGGTAGCCCCTTGCTGTTGCAGATGAAAGGAGGGCGGACACAGCACCTGAAGCAGGGATGGATTTAGAGGTCTTTAGTCTCTAATTCTCCCATCTCAGATGTGAAATATGGTGCTGGGGAACTTGTTTCATCCCTTTATGCTGCTCGTTTCCAAAGCTTTTAATGCCCGAGAGTTTCTTTCTTTCATTTTTTTTTTTTTTATGAAGTGGGATTTTGTTAAAGAAAATGGCAATCTTTAGGGGGATTAGTGGTACTCCACTGGCATGCGCTTGCAAAACCAACTGGTTTAGGTGAGTTTTCCCCTCTGCAGGTGGGTAATGATACGCTGCTCGGCATGGGGGTGGATGTGGAGGTATAGTCTTGCTTATCAAGCTGGGATACCTTGGATAACTTCCCTGATGTGAGGTTGATTCATAGCTGCTCACAGCTGGGCCCCGAGCTGTCACATACCCATTTTTAGCAATAAATTAGACTGTTCTGATTGTCAGAAATACTGAAATACCTTTGTCTGCCTGGGGAAGAAGGTTGCTGTGAAGCTGGGGAGGGTAGGCGTAGAAGCAAGACATACATTCACAGTAGCACACAGATGTATTTGTGTGTTATTGCAGGGTGTGTCTGCTGGGATGCTGCAGGTACAATCTGTTCTTCATAGCTCACAGATGCTCATTGATCAGATTGTGCTTGCTTAATGGGATGTTCTAGCTACGAGTGCATGTATGCACACACATTCGTATGCATGCAGACAAAACCTTTTTGTGTTATTAATTCCAAGGCAGGTCAAGGAGAGTCTGCTTTGTGTTTTCCAGTATCCTGGAGAGCTGCAGATATCCCTAATATAATCCTTTTTCATTTTCAGGTTTGTTTCTAGTGTGGAGCTTAAACAGTGTTAAAGTGATTTACAAGCAGTTTAGCCTTAAGCAGTTTGCATCAGTGCAGATAAAAATCAATTATTACTTCTACTTCTCTTATCAGAAGTGAAATGCTCCAAGTGTTTGTGGAAGCTGCTGATTTTAGACCAGAATGTGAACGGCTCTGTCCAAGCAAAGGGCTCCTTTCCCTTTTTTCCAGGTGGTTTGGGCCCTTTCTGCCCCTTCCAAAGCCTTTTGCAGCCCAAATGCAGATGAGATGGTCTCACCCAGTGCTGCTTGGGCTCCTTTGCAGGAGTGTCCCATAGCAGATGCTCAGGCAGCTTTAGGAGCAGAACAACTTTATTGTCTTATTTGTCATATTCCAGGGTGCAGGACGTATGGCTTGGAGATGGTTCAGGCACACCTCCAGCTGTTCAAGGAGCCCCTCGGGGATTTGAGCACAGCTTGGTGAATCAGCAGAACAGCAAGGGGGCTCTCAAGACTGAGATCAAGGGGGCTGCAGCATCAGGAAACACAAAATTCTGTTTTCTTAGCTGCCCTGCTCATTGCTGAGCCATAGAACTGGTTGTTGGTACTTGGCCATAAGGAGCCCCTTTCCCAGTTTAAATTCACACCAGGGCAGAGTCCCAGATAAACTGGTTTTGTGGGTTCTTTGCCTCTGCCCTGTGCTGAGAATGTGCATTACAAGCCTGTAAAATAGCACGGCATGTGGCTGCTCTGCGATGGCTCCTGATGCCACAGCACCATGCAGGGGCTGCACCCGGGGCACCAGCCTGGGCAGTGTGAGTTGTGGTGGAGCTTGGCCAGCTCTGCCCTCAGGGTGAATCATCTCTGGAGGAGGGTTTTCCTTAAAACTGTGCTCTTACTTTCTCCTTTTTTTTGTTTTTTTTTTTTTTTATGTGCAGCGCCTCAATGAGAACCTGGGAAAGCTCACAGCCAAGTTTGAGAAGGCCACTTCAGACAAACTCAAATGTCAGCAAGAAGCTGAAGCTACAGCGTGTACCATCGCTCTTGCAAATCGACTGGTGAGTGTCAGCAGATGCAACTCTAATGGCATGAATGGGAGGTATCAGGTGCTGCGGAGATGCGAACCATGCATGCACAGTACATTACATCCTCTAATTTTTTTGGAACATATTTTCTGCACTACAGCAAGTTTCAGTAATGAAAATGAATTTGCATTGGCTGTTTTCATACATCAGGGTAGGCACTGCTCATATTTAAAGAGACTGGATATACTCTCTTCACAGCTCTCATCTCCTTTTTGTTACTTAAATGCATGATCAGGTACTGATGGGCCAAAACTATATGACTCAAAAATTGTATCGTAAAAACAAATACGGAATATACCAGTAGCTTTGCAGGTTTGGGAATGACAAAAAGTTAATAGTGAAAAGCTCTAAAAAAACAGTGGATGTCCCTGCTCTCAGCCCATTGGTATGCACTGCAGTATGTTTTATCTTCAAAATATGCAGTCACCCAGTCCTCGGTGGGGGCAGCACCCTTGTCACTGCTTCACAGATAAGAAACCGAGGGAGGCAGTGGCTTCTGCTCACACTGTCCCGTTAGCTGGAGCCCTAGCTCACAGCTGATGCTGCAGTTGCCCTTAATGCTTTGCATTTTGGCTTCTACACTGGCCATTAGCTCCGAACAAGCCAGTTCTTCCTCCAGGCAAGGAAACTGGGCTACAGGAGGCCACCTTGTGCTTGAGCTCTGCCCTGGTAGGCAGTGGGGTTGGAGCTGGTTCTATCATCAGGATCTGCTGACTTGAGCTCACCCTCCGGTACGTGAAGGCAGCGTTGGCATCATCTCAGTGGAGAGATGAATGAACTGCAGTGGAGAATGAACTGCGTCCAGTTCTGGGCTCTGGGCTCCCCAGTTCAAGAAGGATGAGGAACTCCTAGAGAGAGTGCCTGGAGAAGAGAAGGTTGAGAGAGGATCTCATAAATACTTACAAATATCTTAAGGGTAGATGTCATGAGGACGGAGCCAGACTCTTCTCAGTGGTTCTCAGCGGCAGGACAAGGGACAATGGGCACAAACTGAAGCAGAAGAGGTTCCAGTTGAATGTGAGGAAGAACTTTGTTACTGTGAAGGTGACAGAGCCCTGGAACAGGCTGCCCGGGGAGGTTGTGGAGTCCCATTCTCTGGAGGTATTCAAATCCTGCCTAGACGATGTCCTGTGTCCCCTGCTCTGGGTGAGCCTGCTTGAGCAGGGGGGTTGAACTGGGTGATCTCTGGAGGACCCTTCCAACCCCTGCCATTCTGGGATTCTGTGAGTGCCCCAATTTTTTGATGCTTTTAAAACATCTGACTTGGTAGACCTGCAAAGAGGATACAAGTAGAGGTACAGACATCTCTGGGCACAGATTTAGGCAGCACACTCCCATACTGCTTCTGCTGCAGCTCTTGGCATGTAAAGTGCCTGCCTTGCCCCGGTTTGGGTGTGAGATGGGTGTGCAACTTGGCACATGGCTCCTGCCCAAGACCTGGGAAACTCACTGAAACACATGGCCGCACAGCCTGATTTTGGTAGCAGCACTGAAAGAAAGTGCTGTGCTTCACTTCCCCCGGGAGCAGTGGAGGTGGTGTGTTCAATGCACTTTCTTTTCATAGTATCATAGAATCGTTTAGGGTGGAAAAGACCTTTAAGATCATCAAGCCCAACTGTTACTGTAACCCTGCCATCCCACCACTAAACCCTGTCTCTAAGCACCTCATCTGCCCAGCTTTTAAATACCCCCAGGGATGGGGACTTAACCCCTTCCCTGGGCAGCCCTTTCCAGTGCTTGACAGCCCGTCTGGGGAAGGCATTTTTCCTAATGTCAAACATAAACCGCCCCTGACACAACTTGAGGCCATTTCCCCTCATCCCATCACCCATTCCCTGGGAGCAGAGCCTGACCCCCCCAGCTCCCCCTTCCTGTCAGGCAGTTGTACGGAGCGATGAGGTCTCCCTTCAGCCTCCTCTTCTCCAGGCTGAACACCCCCAGCTCTCCCAGCTGTTCCCCATCAGCCTTGGGCTCCAGACCCCTCCCCAGCTTTGTTGCCCTTCTATGGACATGTTCCAGCAACACAACGTAACATTGGCCTTTTCCAAGAGTCTGTACCTGTATCTCCTGGAGAGCATCCTGCTCGGTCTGCACATATTAAGGGATGGAAGTTGGTGTCAGTCTGCCTTGTTGAAGCTGCTTCTACTGGTGGGGCTGGTGGCAGTTAAGTCAGAACACAAAGGCACTTCTAGAAGATGGATGCAGGTTTCCCTGCTTCTTTTACCAGCTCATGGCTGTGTTGGGCTGTAATCTGTGTGTAAAGTATCTACTTGTGCCTATCCCAATATAGCATGCAGTAATAAGAATAAAAAGCCAAATGGTTAAACTTTTTCCTTTGGACATGGAGAGTTGTGCTCAGTTCTCTGTTTCATACTCTCAAACCTTCTTAGGTGACCTTCAGCAAATTGCTTTAGCCTGGATTTTCAGAGCTGGGTTTTCAAGTGCGCTCTCAGCCAGTTTGCAGATGACACCAAGCTGAGTGGTGCGGTTGATATGCTAGAGGGACGGGATGTCATCCAGAGAGACCTGGACAGGCTGGAGAGGTGGGCCTGTGTGAACCTCATCAGGTTCAACAAGGCCAAGTGCAAGGTTCTGCACCTGGGTCGGGGTAACCCCCAGTATCAATACAGTCTGGGGGAAGAAAGGATGGAGAGCAGCCCTGCTGAGAGGGACTTGGGGGTGCTGGTGGATGAAAAGCAGGACATGAGCCAGCAAGGTGCGCTGGCAGCCCGGAAGGCCAACCGTATCTTGGGTTGCATCAGGAAAAGCATGGCCAGCAGGTTGAGGGAGGTGATTCTGCCCCTCTACTCTGCTCTGGGGCCAGCTGTGACAGGACAAGGGGTAATGACTTTAAACTAAACCAGGGTAGGTTTAGACTGGATATAAGGAAGAAATTCTTTCCAGTGAGTGTGGTGGAACACTGGAAGGGGTTGCCCAGAGAGGTACTGGAGGCCCCATCCCTGGAAACTTTCAAGACCAGGTTGGACGGGGCTCTGAGCAACCTGATCTAGTTAGCGGTGTCCCTGCTCCCTGCAAGGGGGTTGGACTAGATGACCTCTAGTGGTCCCTTCCAACCCAAAACATTCTATGATTCTATGATTACCAGGGGTTTCTGCTTACTGTGGATCATATGGAAAACAGTGGAAGAATAATATGATTAGGATCCAGGGTGATGTAAAAGTCTGGGCAAGGCCAGGGTTATTCCTGCTAGTGGAAAGTATGACTGTTCAATGCAAATTGTTGGGAGATGAGGAGAGAGGCACTCGGTCCCTGGGAAATCAGCTGTCTCTGCCTGCAGCTGGGATACAACCCGCAGCAGTTGTATGGTGGTTTAATAGAGAATCTGTTCACTTTGAGGTTTTATTTAGAGGTGAAAACTTACCATGCTTGCCATAAGATAGAGAGAAATGGCAGAGAAATGGGGACACTACGTGTTGGTTACATCTCCTTCCCACCCTATGGCTTGGAAACAACTTGAATTGAGACTCCTTTGGATTCCGCAAAGCACTGGCTGCCTTAGCTAGTTGCAGGACAGAGTGGCTGCTGCGAGGTCATAGCCAAGGAGCACTGAACAGGCAACTCTAAATGCAGACAAGAACGAGTACTGTCAGCACCAGTTCCACTGGCTGTTTGTAAAGGCCTGGTTCGAAAGCACAGCTTGCTACTACTGCTATCAAAAATGGATCACTTCTGCAGCGTATGCAAGGAACTACTTGCATCCCAACTTACTGTTGTGCAATGCACACTGTCTCCTGTGTCATCTCTGGCTTTGATCTAGGAATAGATCCTGACAGCCCTTACTGAACTGCAATTTATTTGACATCCAAGATGTGTCACCTGTGTGACCGTGGGCAGAAATATATTCCTAGACTTTGAAATAAACATATTTGAGGTTGTATGAAGAATACACTGAACTAAACACAGTGTTGCTTGGATTGAAAATCAAAGTTGTTTGGACTGAAAATCAAAACAGGGGGATGAAGGCAATCTGAACTGTTACAGTGCTTTACTTTTAGTTTGGCATCTCATGAACTTTAGATGGCCTAGGGAAGATGCTCCTGGATCCAAGGGACAGGGACCAGGGAATGTCTAGGGATCTGTGCACCAGAAAAAGGAGGATGACTGATGGGTGGTATTTGTGAGTGGATATGTGCTAATGTGGCAGATGAAATTTAGTGATGACAAATCCACAATAATGCATGCAGGCAAAACGAACTGTAATCATGCATTTACATTGATAGGTCCTAATTGCACTATTATCACTCACAGAAGAGCTCTTGGAGTTGTTGCAGAGAGTTCTCAGGAACAGCAGCATGGTACTCTACTGGAGGAAAAAAGGCAGAATGAATATTACGAATGGGTAGGAAAAAATCAGGAAGCAGAAGTTAAACAACCATTGCGTCATTCCAGATCTACACTGTGCCTACACCCTGCACACTGAACAGTCGGGTTACCCCATCTCAGGAGGCTGTAGGTGACCTAGAAAAGGTACAAAGACGCATACAACAGCTTCCACATGTGAAGAGAGGAAACAGATTAGGACTCTTCATTTTAGAAAAAGAGTCTGTGCAGGGATAGAAGTGACAGAAACCTATACAATCATGAATAGTATGTAGAAGGTGAATAGAGAATGATTGTTCACTACCCGTCATTATCAAAGAGATAAAGGTAAGCAGATGAGATGGCTTTTAATTTATTACTTGCTAAATAAAAATAATTCCAGTGACTTCTAGGATCTGAGGTGGAAGACACCTGGGATTTCTTTAAGACATTAAAACTGGCAGTACTGTGTGACCCGAGCAAAGAAGAAAAGACCTTCAGGACGAAAGTGGATAAAAAACCAGTCACCTCAAGAAATTAATTAGGAGTATGTAGAGAGCCTACAAGTATTAGGAAAATCAGATCACTAAAGACTTCTTGGTCTTGGGGGCTATGGGAGCAGTATGAGAACTGACCTCAAGGAAGACCTGTAGATGCTTCATCTCTAAAAGCTACAAAGGGAAGATGGAGGAAGTGGACTACTATGCACTGCTACTGATGTTGAGATTAAGGATAATTTAGGTATGATCCTTAAAAAAATTTGATAACTTAAAAATAGTACTTTGCTTCTTTTTCAACAAGTAGGATTACATAAAAACAGATATGCGGGCTGAGACCAGGGTCTGTCCAGCTTCAGCTGAACTCCAGCAAGTGTTCAGAACAGAGGAGGAACAGGACAGGTGTATCCCATGCTGCCCGATCCCTGATATTTTCCATCCTTCATATGTTCCACTTCAAAGAATGAGGGTATACATGATAAGACAGACGTATAAGACTGAGAACATAAAAATGGGAATTCCCATAGATAAAGAGGAAGCATGACCGTAGTTGAACTAACTGCATGGTCTGGATATGGGAAACACAGGAATGGGATGAAATTCAGTAATACAAGTGTAATTATGGATTCATAACAGATTGTTTGTCTCTAAACTAGGAGCACATTGCTGGCAACCAGCGAGGACCACTCGAATCTATTTGTTCAGGCTTTGTCCTACACATTGTGTAGCCCTAAGAGAGGCAGTTGTGGTCCTAATCATATCAAGAGAAGTTTTTTTAAAAAGGAGAAGGGAATATTAACACATGCTGAGATCAGCCAAAGGCACTGGGGAGATCTCTGCAGCTTTGTGAGTAGGATGGTGGTTCATGTTCATGAAAGAGTAACTCAGCTGAAACAGGTTTAGGGACAGCTCTGAGGTTGAACGGGGCAAAGAAAAATATGCAACCTCTCTTTCTTCTCCTGGAAGGAGTCAGACTGCCCAGAAGGCAGGTTTCACTGCTTCAAAGGAGCACAGGTTTGTCGAGGCAGAAAGGCCATCAGAGGTAGCATTGCAGGTGTCTGTTAGTTCTTCTGTTCATCAGAATAATCATAAACCATCTGGATGAGCTGGTGTGTAAGCAGGTCGCACAGTGTCTCAGTGATACAAATAATGAGCAATGATGGAGCCTGTCTATAAAGAATTGTAAAAATGATACCAAGTGATGGAGGTAGGAAATGCCAGGTAGATAAATGTAAAGTAATGTGTATTGGAAAAATTACTTTTTACTTTACATGCCCTGTAAGAGAGGGTGAGCTAGTTATTATTCAGGAATGAAATGGAGTTAAGAGTTCTGTGAGTATGTGAGCTCTGTGCTCCCAGAGGCAAAAAAACCCTCAATGAACCGAAAACCCAAGCCAAAATTGAATGTTAGGTTTTATTAGGAAAAGAAAAGAGAACAAACCAGAGAAAAAAATCACAATCTTGCTATATAAATACATTCTAAATAAATCTTGAGTGTGCAGCTGTACCTCCGCCCCTTCTGCTATACCTCAAAGGATGTTGTAGAATGGAAAATGGTGCAGAAAAGGTAACAATAAAATGAAATGGGATAATAAAGATTACATCATTCAGTAAAGATAAAGATTGCCAGGACAATCAAAAGGCTGCTTCTGTGTGAGAAACTATTGAATAGGCTAAAGCTCTTCAGCCTCAAAAGGAGGCAGCAGAGGGGGTATCAAGGGCTTGAAATCGTGAGTGGTGTGAAGAAGGTGACACAGGCATTATTCAGTGTTTTTCCACTGTGCAGACAGGTTTTAGCAATTGAAAAGGTCAGGCAGCACATTAAAGGATGTACTTTTTTTACTGAAAGAATAGTTAAACCATGTATCTCTTGGCCACAGAATGCTGTAGATGCCAATAGGTTGGTTGGTATCCATGGCAGCTTAGGCTTAGTCATGAAGGAAAAAATCATCAGTGGTTATTAAGCACAAAGATATAAGCTCTGTTGCAGAAGGTCCTTAAACCTCCAGTTGTGGGAGCCTGGGAGATGACGTCAGGAGCTATTACCAGGTGCTCATTTGCGTAGTCTTCCCAAGTCATCTGCCAAGGGCTGCTCTCAGCTGACAAGGTGCCGAAGGAAGTGGACCTTGGGTCTGGCCTGGTAGAGCTGTTCCTGTGTTATGTATTTCAGAGGAGGACTTTTGCTTTGCCAAGCAGAGCACATTCCCTAGAAAACATTGGCTGTTTATAAAGGCATTAGGAGGTAGACAAGGATGAAAGGAGAGCTGTTTGAGCTGGAGGACAGCGTCTGCATGAGAACCGATGGCATAAACTGGCCAGGAGTAAATTTGTGTTGGAAATCTGAAGGTGACTCCTAAGCCTCAGAAGGTAGCAAGATTCTGCTAGAAATAGGACTTTGGTCAAGTTGGAATGTGTGACGGTGGCATTCAGTGAGGATATAAAGGTGCTGCCTTCCCATCCTGAGGACCTGTGTTCTGCATATCAGTTTAAGATGACAAAATAACCCAGTTTAGGGGAATGAGTTATCCAAGGTGTTCATAAGGCTTATCGTAGAGATTTGTGTTAGAGATGGTCCTGTTTCATGTTTAGGTGACCTGGAAGAAGGAGGCATGTTGTATTAGTCACATTTGCAGCACCCGTTATTTGGGAATGTATGCAAAAGAGAAGGATATAGAGGAATTTTTAATAAAAATGAGAAATATGAAAATTAATCCTAAACTCATGTGCACTGTCTACTGAAGAAGAAAAATAGAAAGTGCTGGTTGGCCCTGTTAACAGAGGCCTGTGAGTAGAGGGATGTGTACATTATGTGGATGTTTTGAGAACACCATGACAACAGGAGAGTGATTGTGAACTTGGCCATGAGGTTTGGCATTCTCAGTCTCAAGTCCATGAAGCCAGCTTAAAACCGTTTGGGGTTTTTCTGGCTTGTGAACCTGAAGGGTGCATCCCATTCATATTTCCAAGCTTTGTTTCTCAGTTAATAGAGCTAAAATTTTCTCTTAAAAAAAAAAAAAAAAAGGGTGTATGTATCACACAACTTCACGAATGAAGGGCCAATGGTACCCCCAAAAGTACCAATGGTCAAAGAAATTGTCCATGCATGTAGAGATACGGGACTTGGTTTAGTGGTGGGATGGCAGGGTTAGAGTAACGGTTGAGCTTGATCTTAAAGGTCTTTTCCAACCCAAATGATTCTATGATTCTATATCTTATTTTACAAGGAGGTGCTGTACCCTCTTCAAAGCTGGTAAGCTCCCAGGTGGACTGTTTGTGTATTGGATGCTCGCAAAAAATATCCACGAGGAAGTGTTTTCTAGACAGACCCTTCAGGAAAAGGAAAGTGTAGCTCCAAGGGGATTGTGATCAAAATCAAAATCCCATCTACCTGGGGTAGTAATAAACTTCATGAAATAGCTGCAGGTTGTGGCTGTTGGAAAGGAGTGCTTTGTGTGAATAGGGTGTAACGAGGTGTGAATCTGTGTCATTAAGGCAATTAACAGCTGATGGGCTGCCTCAGAAATCCTTATGCAGATATCTTAATTTTTTTGGGGAAGTGATGGATCCTCCCTTGATGATTTTAGAGGAGTTGTGGAGCAGACAGCTGAGATTTGACTGCAGGACCAGTCTTTCACTGAATGGGGCAGAAGGGTTAGAAAAGTAACCGTTGAATATTTCCCATCCCCAGGTTTTAAGCTTTAGCAAATGACAGTTGATATCAGGAACAAGGTATGGACATGGCCAGATCTTGAGGTATTGCTTAAAGAACCACTGTAATGATCAATTTGACTTGGGAAATCACAGGTTGGGGGACTCGCCTCTGAGAACGTGAGATGGGCTGAAGCCATGAAGGACTTCAAACAGCAACAGAGCACCTTGTGTGGAGATGTCTTGCTGGTTACGGCCTTCATCTCTTACCTGGGCTACTTCACCAAGAAATACCGTCAAGACCTTCTGGATGGAATCTGGAAGCCATATTTGCACCAGCTAAAAGTAAGCCCTGATTTCTCTGGAAAGCCGTTGTTACTGGAACTAACATGGCTATACATTCTGATGTCTGCAGGGGATCCCCCAAGTGAGGGGATCCCCTAAATGAGAGGCATCCCTGTGACCCCACCAAGTTGGACTGAGGAGCAGGACATAGCCACGCTTGATTTACTCCTCTTTGGGGAAGACATTGTGGTGTCCTTGCTCCATGCAAGTGACCTGATTCCTACATGTAGAGAGGAAAATCCCTGATCCAGCAACCCAGACATGGAGCCCAGCACCATTGCTGTGCAGTTTTAACCAGGTGTCAGGGATGGCCTAGAAGGAGGGAGGTAGTATGGAGAAGGAATTGCTTGGAGCAGGCAGAGCTCACTGCCAGCTCTCTTGTAGGCTTGGAAAAACTCCAGATGGTTCTTCATGCTGGACACAAGCTCTGTTCATGCTGGCCATGCCTCTCAGCTGTTTCTACCCATGTCTTGCTGTTTGGAGCAGATGGAGACCGTCGTGTTTCAAACTTGTTTAATATTTCACTAATTTTTAACAGGTCCTCTCATACATGAGTAAATGTAAGTGCTTGGTCTCCTGCAGGACTGAGCTTTTGCACATCAGTACAGTATAAACCCTGCTGAAATGCCAAGAAGCTTTTAAATGAGGTCGCAAATGTACAGTGATGCCCACATCAAAAAGCTGAGGAAATCACCAAGTTTCTTAGGTTGAGAGAGGAAAACTTCATTCTGCATTTCTTAATACTAAGCCAAAAATTTAGTTAGGAAAAACAGTATTGTCCCAAAAGTTACCTGACCCTGTGCTTAGAAATTTTAACGAAATGCCTGTATTTCTAATGGAAAATTTAAGGCTCATTCTGCTTAGGTATGGCACAGATAATTTTCGGACTGGCACACCCAGAAATGGCTTCCCGTGTCAGAGAATTGTTTCTGGAACTGCTAATGCTGTTTTGCAACCCAACAGCAGGCTTACCAGGGTGTTAATTACGTTCTTCCAAGCTGTCTCGGAGAGCTTTACAGGGCAGAGTGAGATCTGAGCCCACTTGTCTGGGCTGTGGTCCTTCCAGGTGCTTAGTGGTCCTCAGGCAAAAATTCTGCTTAGGTATGGCACAGATAATTTTCGGACTGGCACACCCAGAAATGGCTTCCCGTGTCAGAGAATTGTTTCTGGAACTGCTAATGCTGTTTTGCAACCCAACAGCAGGCTTACCAGGGTGTTAATTACGTTCTTCCAAGCTGTCTCGGAGAGCTTTACAGGGCAGAGTGAGATCTGAGCCCACTTGTCTGGGCTGTGGTCCTTCCAGGTGCTTAGTGGTCTTCAGGCAAAAATATTTGGGTTGCTTGCATAAGTTATGTTCATTTACAACAGGATTGGGAAACAATACTAGATCAAAACTATCCCATAGAATAGGAAGCCACTGATAAATATGATTTACCAGTTTTTAATTATTCTAACTTTTCTTGAAATATTTTCCTTACTCATCTTTGGAATATGTTGCAAGTTACGCTTGCTGCTTTTAACTGACACACTAGGAAGCATTTCTCCTTTCCTCCCAGGTGCCAATCCCTGTAACTTCATCCCTTGATCCTCTGACCATGCTGACAGATGAGGCTGATGTAGCGACTTGGCAGAACGAAGGCCTGCCAGCTGATCGGATGTCCACTGAAAATGCCACCATCCTCACCAACTGTGAGCGCTGGCCCCTCATGGTGGATCCCCAGCTGCAGGGCATCAAATGGATCAAAACAAAGTATGGCGAAGACCTCAGAGTGATCCGAATTGGGCAGAAGGGGTAAACATCAGCTTTATCACATAGTCATACCTGTTAATGGTTGTCTGCCTGTCATATATGATGAACAGCGTATATTTAACTGCAACCATGTGAGCCAATTACATTGAGGAAAACCCCCAAAAGTGTTTGTTCATTAGCTGCTTATTTATTACTAAAATGATAGAGATTTCTCATTAAATAGAGAGTCTGTTTAGTGCTTGGCTCAGTTACCATAGAAACACTTCTGAAACTGGGAATGGAGCGTGCTATGTGCTGGAGGCTGAGTTACTATGGCATCCTCCATTGGACTAGTCTTCTGTGTTTTGTCCTGACTCAGTTTCACCCAGGAGGATGAGTAGGGCTTCCAACATCTTAGAAGAAGACAGAGGGCCTGGGCACAGAGGGTGAAGCTGCCATGAGGGTCACAATGCCCTGAAGACCAACTGGGTAACTGAACCTACACTTGCACCAGCTGGATGTTCCCATTGCAGCATCTCTGCATTGATCTGGCTAAATCTTTTATGGGAAGTCTTTTCCACTCCTGTCTCTTACCTTTGGTCGGCATACAGACCAGTCTTCTGCTATGTCAGTTTGCACCTATTTCTACCCACTAGGGAGGAGTCCCAGCTGGGATGGAGCAGACCCAGAGTCAAATCCCTGCTTGGATATGAGCACTGAGATTTTTTTTTTTTAATACAGAGCAAAACATTGGCAACAGGCAAGAGTGACCCAAGCTTGGTGCTTACAAATTCATGTATATTTGGAAATTTCTTTGGGTTGCCCAAGCTGTTTTGCTGGTGCCTCCTCTGCTTTCCTGACAGAAAATAACAAGAATTTATTAGATTTGATCTCGTGTGGGATGAAAATACAGCTTATTTTTCATTAGAGCAAATTTCTGTTTCTTGGTCAGCCTGGTCACCATGCACTGCTGTTATTCAAAGGGGTCTGTGGAAAAGTAAGGATCCCAGAGGAAGCACATAAATACAAACCTCCAGGATGGAACAAGAGGAATAGACCCTGTTGCATTCATGTGCTGTCATTACAGCCCACTGTGCAAACACAGCTTCTCTTTTCCCCTCCCTCCCTGGCCACACACCAGGCTGGCATCCCCACTAAGAGGGGCATTTAGCCTGTTGCTGTGATGTCTCAGGGTCATTGGCTAAAACCATAACTCACTGCCCCATTACAGTAAATAAGGGAAATGGTGCTGCTTTGCTTTCAACTGCTTTAAGAGGTTTAACCCCACATCCCTCTCTCCTTCAGGAAAAGGCCACTTGAGCAGCTTTGGGGTCAGCTGCTGTCATTCTCTCTGACTGTTTCTTTGTATAAAATATTCCTGGACTCAGAAAAATGGGGTCTGCTGATCAAGGATGGGGATTGCATTGTGTCTACATATTCCTTTAAAAGTCGGGCCTAAAGGTCACTCTGAACTTCTTGTCTTGGATCTATCACCTCTTGAGGTCCCAAGCTTAGACGAGGAACCTAAATTTTAGCCAGGAGAGTTAGCTGGAGTGATTCAGTGCAACAGTGATAGTGTAACAGCACCTGGAGCATCCTCACCACCTGCCCAGGGCCCTTCTCTCCCCTTTGCAGAGAAGCTGTGTGAAGTGCAGAGCAGCGTCCAAGGAGAGAGCACAAGCACTTGACCCTGATCTTCTCAATACAAAGCACTGCAATGCAGAGCATCCTCCTTTCACAGTTAGGCACTGGGCAAAAGGGTCCAATTCCCTCATGAGGAAAGAAGCTGTCCTAAATGTGACCCTAAACCCTGGGCAAAATGAAGCTGAAACCTGCTCTTCATAGAATCATTTAGGTTGGAAGAGACCTTTAATCTCATCAAGCCCAACCGTTACCCTAACCCTGCCATCCCACCACTAAACCATGGCCCTAAACACCTTGTCTGCCTGGCTTTTAAATACATCCTTGCTTTTAACCAAGATTAATGGCATCAGTGGGTTCTGGAGGAAACAAAGTATTTGTTAAAAATAACTCCAAGCTGTCTCATCTTTGTTCACTGATGCCCATGTTCTTTTCTTGGGAAAGAAGACAGAGTTATTATTGCTTGCCCTTGGGAGGTCTGAGACCTGCTTCTCTTTGTTGGGAAGCCAAGACGTTGCCAGTGCCACTTTCTGCTCTATCTCACCCCTCTTTCTCCCTTGCAACTGCTGGCACGTGTGTGTAGCTGCCATCAGTGTGGAGCTCCCCTCTGCCCCCCTCCCATCCTCCTTGCTGGAAAGCATCACATCCAGCCTTGCTGCCGTGGGTACCAATGCCATTTCCCACAGGTATCTGGACACGATGGAACGAGCCCTGGCTGCAGGAGAACTGGTTTTGATTGAAAACCTGGAGGAATCCGTGGATCCAGTTCTGGGGCCATTACTGGGGCGAGAAACAATCAAGAAAGGGAGGTGAGCTTCGGGAGGTTTAATGGCATGTGGGAATGGGTTCTTTGTGCTGTTGTGCTTTCTGTTCCCAACCTCAAATCCTGGGTGTTCATATACAGCAGCACTAACATTCTGCCTTCAGAAGTGAGGGCATTTTAAATCAGGAAATTGCAGGTAATTCAGTCATAGGATGGCTTTGAAATAAATCTAGATTTTTCATTTTGTTAGACAGCATCGTTCAAACCTCATGTAAAAGAGAGCCCTATAATTCCCTGTTTGTATAGTGACCTTGGTGTCTAACTGTCCTGACACTGAATTATAACCAAAATAGCTATTGCTGTTGTGAAGAAAAAGTAATCTTGACTTTTAGCAAACACTGCACACTGCTTAGGAATACAGCAACAGGTTTAAGGATTAAGAATATGTGTTTCTTAATGAGGTCAAGTTCTTCATGGCAGCTGCTGGTCCCCCTCCAGCCGAGAGGAGGTCAGCGAGAAGGGCAGCAAGGGAGTTCACTTCTTCCTTCTTTCTGTACGTAGAATAAAATAAGCACATTTTTAGTGTGTGCTCAAATAATGGCAACAAATAAAATCTCGTGCTCGGTGCTGAACTTGGTTCAGGGACTCTTTTGATGTTGTTTCACTGGCTTTTGCAAAGCGGAGTTGTCTGCCTTTAGAGAGACGCCCGTCAGTTGGGCTTTTAAAAGTCTCTGCCACCAGCAGCTTTGCCACTTGCAGGAGCCCGGTGTGGGCTGACCCCAGTGCTTGCCGCAGTGCCTCACGGTACGGTCCTGCTCTTGGCTTTGTGCAGTAAATAACAAAAAGCCAGTTCAGCTCTGTCTTTCACTGTCCTTAAGTTCCTTAAGGATCATTTCCTTACTTGCCTAAAATATCCTAGGATGATGTAAAGTGCTGTGAAAGGCAAGCTGTCCAGAAAGTTTGCAAGAGGAAAACATCATGAGAAGGGTGGCTGGTTGTGGGTTCAGCTGCAGGATGGAGGGGAAGGATGATTTCAGAGGGAATGGCAGTCCCAGTAAAGGGGATTGAAACGTTTGAAAGTGGAGATAGGGGGTACAGCAGAGGTGGTGGGACTCCTGAGCCCCCCTGCAGTGAAAAACTCACTCATCCCCTTTGGGGACTGTACATCTCTGCTCTCAAAAGTCCCTGTGAAATCATGTGTTATCTAAGAAAGGGAAAATAAGTCATAAATCAAATAAAAAGTCTGTAGGTTTCACTTTTTCCAGGACATGAGCCCAGACCCCACAGACAGAGGCTGGTAGTCCCAGAGCAAGATTTTTTGAAGTCCGGGTTCTAAGCACTATCTCTGCCTGCTGATGTGAGCTGTGTGTACTGTGTGATGTCTCTCTGCCTCAGCTTCACAGCTATAAAAGCAATCAAGATGGCCAAAAGGACACCTAGAGAACTCATGTTTGACTGGAAAGCATGTTCAAATTCCCATGATAATGCCACTGACATAAGAGTCCAGCTGCATCCCTGAAATCCTTTCCAGTTTCTCTTTTCCTCTGGTTCCCATGGGCTTTGTTAAATTTGGGTTCAGAGCATGTTGATTCTGGGGGTCGCTGTGAATTTTAGACTTGATGTCAGAAATGTGGAATAGGAGAAGGCTGGGGGTTTCCGAGTGATGTTGCCTCCCAGGAGTGGCAACCAGCCACTCTCCTAATCTGCCTTCGCTGCTCAAGCTCAGTGTGACCACGGAGTTAACCTGATCTGGCTAATTAAAATCTCAGTGCTGAGAGGTTTTTCCTCCACATAATTCCAACTTTAGGTACAATACAGCCTCTGTAAAAAGCAAGGAAGGTTCATGGTTGAACTGGCCATCCTGCTGCTGGAAACTGTGAGCCTTCTCAAATAGGATCCAAAATTCAGGGCAACTGTCTGGGGTTTTTATCCTAAATAAGAAGTGATTCAGGTGTGTCTAATTTTAAATACTTTTTGCTTTAATAGTGATTTCTACCTGAAGAGTGCAATGTCCCATGCTGGTAGATGCCATTGACCGATACCACCATTGGTCTTTGGGTGAAATGTCCCGGAGGAGATGTGCACTCATGCTTCTTTTGCTCTAATGTCAGGTACATTAAGATCGGGGACAAGGAGTGTGACTTCAACCCTGCTTTCCGTCTTATTCTCCACACAAAGCTGGCAAACCCCCACTTCCAACCCGAGCTTCAGGCACAGTGCACCCTCATCAACTTCACCGTCACACAAGATGGCTTGGAGGACCAGCTGCTCGCGGCGGTGGTCAACATGGAGAGGCCTGACTTGGAAGAGCTTAAGGTCAGTAGCTGGGAGTTTACACTGTGAGCAAGTATAAATAATAACAATACCATTATTAATAACAAATAATGATTATTTTTGTAATTTAAGACAAATAGCATTTCATATGCAAGGTTGCAGAAATTGCTGGGCTCATCACAAAATCAAGAAATTTTCCTTGAATTACAAACACTGAGGAATTTTTTCTTCACTCTTTTGTTTTCTTGGTATTTTGGGAACACTTAAAAGTGCAAGTTTTTTCTCCAAAAATTTGGGAAGAAATCTCTTTGTTTTCCTACTGAAAATACTGAGATTCTCATTATATCAGGTTTTTCTGGACTTAACAGGTTTAATTTTGGAGGTAGGATTAACCTCACTTAATTTTAGGCATTTATGGTATAGGATTCCCACTGTAAATATTGTGAGGCTGGTAATGAATATTTTCTGTTCTGGTTCTTCCTCCCACTTGTTTGTAACAGGCCAAAACGTTCTCTCTCTCTCTCTCTCTCTCTTAATAAGTATGGCTTCGGTTTCAAGATAATTTTTAAAAGAAAATCCTTTGTTCTAATAGCATATCTAACAATGTAACGAATATGTATAATACTAAATATTTACTGAGAGTGGGAATAAATTTGGTGCACATGTTCAGTCAGGCCAGGCCAGTTTTGTAATAATCTTTCCATTTAATGAGGTTCTAAAGTACGTTAGCTGTGCAGCCTTAATGATGCATTTAGTTTTAAACAGGCTCATGTGCTAACGAGCCAAAAGATGGCATCAAAAATACATAATGAACTGATTTAATGCGCAAGCCATGGCTATCTTGCTGGAACCATGAGGGACCCAAAGGCCCCCCTTGCGCATGTTGTGAATGCTGCAAACAGCCACTTCCCTTTGCTGATTTGCACTGAAGGGGGCTGGGGGGGGGCTGACCATGATTAACATAGCGGTGTCATTAATTGCTGCTATATTAAGGACTGTTCCTCGTAGCCTCTGCAGCATCACTGTTAATGGTTGCTGTCACAATAAGAAAGACAAATTCAATATCATGTGCAGTCAACAAATCTACAATTAGGCTCTGCAAATTAGTAACCTGAAATTGGCAGCACTTCCCTCCCGTGCTGTAAGAGAACTGTGTATTAGAAAGCAGTGAAAATGGTGTGAATTAGAGATCGCATTTTTTGAAGTCCCTGCTTCTTCAGGGCATGCATGTTGTGGAAGAAGGAGGTTGGGCACAGGACCAGGGGAATGCATCCCCAGGTGCCAGCTACGCCCCCGGCTGTGGGGGATCTGGGGCTGTAGTCTCGCTTTAGAAAGCACTGAGGAGATACAGATTGGTGTGGGATGTAATTTTCTTTTTATTTAAGAATATTGAAGACCTTTTTCTCGATATCACCACAGCAAGATAATACCAGAGCCCACTCTCTCTCCACTTCCTCATCTACTTCCCTCCTCTTGCACTCCTGCTGCCTCCTATCAGGGAGGAGAAAACCAGCCTGGTGTCCAAGACGTTCTACTGGGTGGTGAATCAAAAACCCCTCTTCTCTGCTGGGATAAAAGGAGAGACTTGTCTCCTTGGACATGGTGAGGGGGCTGGCAATGGCTGTGGCCGCTGACCACTGTGGGTGACTGCTCGCCAGGGGGTCGGTGCCTTCTGCCCCTTGTCTATTCAGTGATGTGAAAAAAGCCACAACTGTTGTCTGATAGCTGGGGGCAGCTCCTTGAAGACACAGATTGGAATCTTTGGATTCCCCAAAAGAGAGGGCACTTGTCTAGGTGTTTTTCAATCCCTCCTCTCTCCCCTGGGACAGAAGGGACAGGAGTTTGGCGTCTGGGGAAGGCTTAGGGCTCTGGCTCATGGGCAGATGGAGGTGATTCCTCCTGTACGGGACAACAGTTACTAAGCTCAAAATCTTGTTATGGGCAAAGATGGAGCACACCTTTTATGTGGCGCTCAGAATTTATTGTTAATAACCTAATCAAAATTCATCAAACAGCTATTATTAATCCAATTACAATAACACTAACATTTTAAAAATGTTTTCCCAACACAGCTTGTTTCCCTAATATTTTTCTGCATTGATTCCCAGTTATTCAGTCTTTCTGTTCCTTCTTGTCTTTGAAGCTGTCTTTATCCGATTCGCAGGATTGCACTCCTGTTACAGTGGGTGTTCAGAGCCTGAGACCACATTTGCACTCTACTGTGTTTTTGTTCTAGAGATAGATCGATCTGCCCAGAACAACTGCTTGCCCTGACTCTAAATTAAGGCCAGGCTTAAACAGGTTAATGCAGTAGTGACCTGGCTGGCAATATGACAATATATGACAATAACAGCTGGGAGAAGCTAAAACCAGTTTAGGTCACAGCAAGCAAAGCCAAGTCCTGAGACCTTCTCTCTCAAGTCAGTACAAACCCTCTGGACTTCAACTTGTCTCATTTGCAATTTCCTTTGGCAAGGATGACTGTGGTCCCTGTGCTGGTGGTGCTGCCTGTGGTCCACGTGGTCTTACCAGGGCTAGTTTCAGGTATCTCCCACCTTCACCAGACTTCACTGTTTGGACTGAAATGTCTTGGATGGCATTTGCCTTAAATTCATTGTCTGTTTAGTGCTGAGAACAGCCTTAGGAAGAGTATTTTGGTAGCTGCGTCCCAAGCTGTAGGTGGATAAGTCATCAGTTAGGGTTCTGCCTTGCTGATTCCATAGGTAAAGTGTGTGTGAAAGTCCCTGCACATTTAGGCTGGGATGAACAATGTTGAGGTTCTTCAGGAAAAACGGTGCTCTGCAGGAGCAGACTGAAAATACAGGGATTTTTTTTTTCTCTGGTTTGTGATGTTAAAATAATGCAATAAAACCAGCAGAAAGGACAAGGAGAGGAAAGTGGCTGCTGCGGCTGAGCTAGGAAGGGGTTGGTAGCAAAGCCAGCAAAACTGGCCTGTAGCTCTGGTGAATTTTTTTTTGTTGTTGTTTCATGGAATGAAATTTTGAAGGCTCTCAGAGTAACCTGTTTCCCAGAAGTAGCGCTGTTATATGTCAACTGTGAAATAACAGATAATGAGCTCCACTGCAGAAAGAAGAAATGCTGACCTTGCCCCTGCTGAAAACAAAAGCATGATAAAGCTGCAACAGATGCAGGCTGTTGTGGGGAATACAGCATTGTACGCACTTCTAAGGGTGCATTTCAGAAATTGCGTGGTGATTACAAGTTATTGGAGCAAAAATCACTCACATCCTCATTAATAACTCCAGGGCTTACAGTCCACAGTCTGGAATAATATCTTGCAAAATGTCATTTTTCAAGGCATGCTATGCTTGAATGACAGGAACGCACAACATTAGGAGTGTTAGTTTTCTGTTTCAAGACTTGTAAAATATTTACTACCATGGGCAAACTCCTGTGTGTAATGCCTACAGAACAGGCCTTTAGAAGCAGCCATTTATAGCTGAAATACCAAGAAAAGGCATGGTTCGGTGCACACTCTGCTGAATGCTTGGCTGGAAATTAGCACAGAATGAGTGTGTGTGCAGCAAGGATATGAAATTTCAGCCTAAATATTGAAAGATGACTTACTAATGAAAGAGTTACTTAATCTGTTTGAAAATCTCTGACAACAGAACAAACGCTGCTGTTCCCGTATGTGTTGTGGGACTGGAACAGATATAGGGTCACTTTTCCCATTCCTGGGGCTCTTCCAGACCCTGTAGGTTGTTGGAAGGTGTGGATATGTTTTCAAAAACTGTATCTGGAGCATTAAATAATTTGACTTAAGACACTGAATCTGTCATGTGCCAGTCGCCATGGTCCAGAACTTGCCTCAATTCCACCTGCATCATATCTGCCACTTCATGGAGCTGGCTATTTTTTTGCAGGGCTATAAAACACTCTTTTGAAAGTTACTTGAATTTCTTGGTTGTGTCACTTAAATACAGTCTGAGGATTTAAAACTGTGTGTCACAAAGTAGTGTTTTATGTACCAGGGTGTTAGGGATTGACTTCATTTATGTCAAGAATAATCACCAGGCTTATATCTTAGCAGCATCCAAATCAGATGCTCAGCTTTCCCACAGGATGTTTTCCATGATAACGCTAAAAATAGGTGTTCACAATAGGATCATATGATGGAATAACAGAATATACCTGAAATCCAGGAAAGATGCCATTTCCCCGAACAAACACATAGAATAGGGCAATCATGTTTCATGAGAGAAAGCCTATTCTGCAGGATCAGCTCAAAAAGGAGCCGGATGAGAGTCTTTGTTTTCACCATGAACAGCATTAATGACTGGTATCTTTGCAGAAGAGAGGGAAATGGAACAAGTGTCTGGAGGGGGCATTTCACAGAAACTGGAAGAATTTGCACTGTAATTCAGAAGATCTGCCCTTGAGGCTAGATGGTTGTTACTGGTCTGTACCTGCTTGGCCATCTTTGTGATGAGTTTGCAAATCCTTTGGCAGGGGGACTTTGTGTTTGCATCGTTATACTTCTAGCACAGTAATCCACTGGTCCCAGTGAGATGTCAAGGCCAGAATACAAACGGAAGCACCAATCAAGTGAGGTTTTGACTTTGCCCTCAGTTCTCAGCCTGAGATGCATTGTGCTCATCTCTGGACCGAAATGACCTTGTGTTAGGATCCAATTTTTTTGCATGAGAGGAAGGCCCCCTTGCTTTCTAGTGAGCCTCAGGTGAATCTGGGAGGCTAGGGGTGGCTAGACCAACCTCTCATTTTCAGGTTTGATCCTTTGAGCAAGGTTAAGATACAAACAAACTCAGATGTTGTAAACCCACCCGTTTATTATCTGTTTGGGGGAAAGAGAGAAAGCAGCAATAGGAAAGGAAGGAAGGAAAGATGGGAAATTAAGCAAGAGTTCTGAACAGAAGAGCGCAGACAGTCACCACCATGGATCCGCAACATCCTGGGGGTCTGTGCTTCTTCGATGGCGGGTGATCACACACATGGGGTTGGTGGTCATGCAGGGTCTTCATTGGTCTCACAGGGTCCTCAGTAATCATGCAGAGTTTTTGGGTGTCTCCTACGAGGTTGGTGGTTGCCCAGGGTCTTTGGTGGGCTCCTGTGGGGTCGGTGATTGCACACAGGGTCTGAGACTGCGGCCTTTTATAGGCTGTGTGCCTAAGGCATGTGCTTCTACAGGCCCTCGGCAACAGCTTCACCCCTGTGCCGTGCTTGCCCAGGGCAGCAGCTCGCATCTCCTGTCTGAGCCCCTCTCCTGTGCCTGGGGTCTCACGCACCAACCATGTGCACATGCCCCCAGCCGGTTGCTGGCACCTGATAGGGTGTCACCAGGGCCTTGCCGCCATCCTTGTGGCTATGGAGGCACGGTGGCAGCTTGCACAACTGCCCTGCAAGGTCCTGTTAGCTTAATGTGGGCAAGCTTTGAGACAAATGTCCAGCAAGTCCATCCCTCACACCTTGCTGTTGGTTTTGCCATCAAGTTTTAGCCCTGTGGTCCTCATTGCTGGTGTGACTGGTGGTGGTGTGTAGTGGCAAGTGTAGATGTTCACCCAGAAGGGTGAGAAGCAGCAGGGACTCTCCAGGCTGACTTGAGCCCAATAAATAAATACTTCTAAGAGAGAGATGCAGGTTGTATGTTTGAGATGGGGGTAAAGGGTCTTTTCCTCCTGATAAATTTCCAGCATTTTAATGCATTACTAGCGAAAGGGCTCGGTTACCTGGTGCTTTCTGTGCTGTTCAAGGTTTCTCTGAGTTGATGGCTTGTTGGATATGGAGTGATCTCCAGAGCTCTGCCCGTGCCCAGGAGTCGCAGAGAGCAGGAGTAAGCAATATTGAACTATGGCAAATGTCAGTTAGAAGCCTGTTCCCACATGAAGGTGTTTAATCCATACTTTAACTACATGTTTTGTGGCTAAAACTTTCTGAATTTATTGTTTACAGTCAGATCTCACAAAGCAACAGAATGGATTCAAAATCAGCTTGAAAACCTTAGAGGACAACTTGCTCTCTCGGTTGTCATCAGCATCTGGGAACTTCCTGGGAGACACAGCGTTGGTTGAGAACTTGGAGATCACTAAACAGACAGCTGCAGAAATTGAAGAGAAGGTACAAAGACAGGGATAGCCTAGCAAAAAGCATGTGTGTGATGTTATCTTTAAGATTTTCTGGGTGGCACATAACTTCTTTAGTCTGCCCATCTCTGACTCTTCTGCTGAGTAGAGAGTAGAAAGTGGTAGAAATTGAAGTGCTCTCCATTCTGGACAGCTTCAGGCCATTTAATTCTTTGGAGTTTTTCTATGTTAAATGGCCTATTTAAGACCAAGAGAAAATGTCAGTGCCTGTTGTAAAGACAATAAAACTTACACACTGTATCAAGGCAGCTTTAAACCGTTCCAGTGCAATCCTGAATATATCATACTTCCTCAATTAAACTGGATTTTAGTACTGACCGGGGACTGGAACCTGTTGAGTTTGAGATCTCGAGTAAATCTGCACGAACTTGGGTATTTCATATCCTTCCATTTCTTAGAATATAAATCAGCACTGTGCAGTGTCAGCATTGCCACCTACCCCATTCACCTTGCTCGCTAGACCGGGTCAGTTAATGCACAGTGCTTTTCCCCTGCCACTGAGGCAACTTGAGAAGTGCGGTTGTCATGTCAGGATTGCGACAGGACTCCTGTGTGACCATTCTCAGCTGCTTTCCTCCACAGTCCTCCCATCTTCACAGCCCACACTTGTCCTGCCCCATGCTGCCTAGATGAGTAACCCACATGCTGGGGCCGGGCTGCAACTGCCTCTCACTTCCCAGCGCTCCCTAGCAACCAAGGAACTAAGTGATCTTCCACGTTAAAAATTATGAATTATTTCTGCTAGCCATTCATGGTACATCAGATGCATTCAGCTCCTTAAGGAGGGTTTGATTGAACCGCCAAAGGGGGATGTTGAAGGGATGTTTTGACCTGGCAAGCTAGGCATCTCCCTCTTGAAGTAGGTGTTCTTGAAGCACTTCAATTTCTAAACAAGTTGTGGTTGTAAAGACGGTCACTGCCAGCTCTTTGGCAACAGGGATGAATTTTGGAGTTTGCACCTGGGTTTTATGGGTTCGGTACCCACATGGAAAGCTGTCTCAGAGCCTGTTAGAGGTCTGCTTCTCAAGTCAACCCTTAGTCTGTTCTTGGTCTGTCTACCCAAAGAAAAACATTCAGCCAACATTTTCCTTCCTATGGAAGTCCTCCCTGCTCTATTTATGGAAAGCCATTGTCTTCCCTACCTCTGGCTTTATTTGTCTAGATTTATTAGTCGTTTGGGGGATGGGATATCTAAAAGTTGCCTGGGTCTAAGCTAGACTCTGGGCTCCCTTTATAGTCAGTGGAGATACATGGGTGCTGCCAGAAAGAGGACTTATCTGATGCAGATGGGTGATTCATGGCCCATGCAGATGCTTGTTTCTGCAGTAGACATTGAAGCTGCTCTTTGGGGGGGCTCACGGGGTTGGACAAACAGCCTAATCCCACAGATCCCAACATGTTCTGGTTGCACACAACAGATTAAGGCTCAGTCTGTGCTTTGCTGGGAAGGTTTGATGTGCCCCAGCCTGAAGTGCTCACACCAGCTCAGGTCATGGCAGAGGGAGACCCAGTGGGGTGCATTTCAGTGAGGGCTATATCATGCCCTGCTGGCTTGTACAACATGTGCTGAGCCCTTTTCTGCCACATCCCCATTGCATGGTTTGCTGAGCTAGCTGGGTCAGCACTGGCTCGGCCACATGTGGCTGTGTTGCAAGATGCTTATGACTGTACATAGCCAGAGCCTAAAATAATCCACAAGAGGCTCGAGGATGTCACTTTATGCTTCTGAAGTGGAATGAAAGAATGAATGGGACTGAGATGAGAATAGGGTGATGTATTTGCCAAATGGATTTTCACCATGTGCATCACAGCAGCTATGCAGACACCTGGTCAGCAAGGCAGAGGTGTGTTCAATGCTGGTGAGGAAAGGCAGCAAATAGCCATTATAAATTAGCAATTCTCAGTCTTGGGGGAAGCTGCCTTGAGAGCAGCACTGAGTCTGTTCAGCCCTGTGTTATTAATGACCTGCACAGGAGGGGGGCAATTAACGGGAGAAACTCATTGATGAGAAAAACAATTCTAGTTAGTAAAGAGCAGGGATCCTAGTGAGAAGCCTGGAGGGAGCTTGGGAAAAAGGAGGATTGGGCAACAGGGTGGTAAATGCAGTTAAATGGAGAATATGCCAGAGGAAGGGGGATGTTGGGAGTAGGCGGCTCAAGCCTGGCTGCACCATGGCTCAGAGGGCAGAGGCTGGTCTCTGCAGTGGTCACATGCAGGTTGCCCAATGCTTGGCCTGACATCATGGTAGATGTCAACCCTCTCCTGGGCTGCATGCTCAATTCACAAGGAGATTTTCACAGCAATTTTGTTCTGTCTTTTCCTCCCAGGTCCAGGAGTCTAAGATGACAGAAACCAAGATTAACGAAGCCAGAGAGCACTACAGGCCTGCTGCTGCACGGGCCTCTCTGCTGTACTTCACCATGAACGACCTCCATGCCATCCATCCCATGTACCAGTTCTCTCTGAAGGTACTGTCCCCATGAGCCAGTGGCCATGCCCACGGCTGCGGCAGGCAGAGCTGCTGCCTCACTGTTGGGCCGAGGCCAACTGTATGAGGTTCAACAAGGCCAAGTGCTGGGAGCTGCACTTGGGTCACAACAACGCCACACAATGCTTACAGGCATGCAGAAGAGTGGCTGGAGAGCTGCCTGTCGGGAAAGGACCTAGGGGGCAACAAAGCTGAGGAGGGGTCTGGAGCCCAAGGCTGCTGGGGAGTGTCTGGGGGAGCTGGAGGTGTTTAGCCTGGAGAAGAGGAGGCTGAGGGGAGCCCTTAATGCTCCCTACAACTGCCTAACAAGACGGGTGAGACGGGGGGGCTCTGCTCCCAGGGAATGGGAGATGGGAAAAGGGGAAACAGCCTCAGGTTGTGCCAGGGCAGATTTAGGTTGGACACTGGGAAAAATTCCTTCCCCAAAAGGCTTGTCAAGCACTGGAAGGGGCTGCCCAGGGAAGGGGTTGAGTCCCCGTCCCTGGGGGTATTTAAAAGCCGGGCAGACAAGGTGCTTAGGGTCAGGATTTAGTGGTGGGATGGCAGGGTTACGGTAACAGTTGGGCTTGATGATCTTAAATGTCTTTTCCAACCTTAATGATTCTATGATTCTCTTTCTTGCTGAGGTTCAAAGTCATCTTGGGCCTCTTGGGGATGTTTGAACTCCCAGACAAAAAGCTGGTCTAACATAAACCGTTCTGCTGATCTGTCTTTATGGAAAATTTTCCTGTAATTTATTTCTTTATAAGTCTGCTTAGCATCCATTATTCTTGTGTTGCAGTAGCGTTTAGCACTCACTGAGAAAGATTTGTCCAAAACTTACTGCAAATGCTGAGCAGAGCGTGCTTATTGCTGCCCTCGGTGGAAGGAGCAGAGTTTTGGCAGGACCTGCAAAGACCCAGTGAGGAGTGGTCTGAATGCCAAAAGAAAAGGTCCCTCTGCGTCCAGTACTGAATGTGGGCCAGGGTCCCTACTCGGCTCTGAATTTGCCAGTCAGCCCACCACAGGATATCAGACTGGGATCAGGTTAGATAAGCCTTAAATAGCTTTTCTTTCTTTTCTTGGTTTCTTTCTAAGCAGTTGAAGTCTTGTGGAAAGGCACAGTCTTAGCGACGTGTTAACATCATTTATTACTAAAAATCCAGGAAGTTTCTTTGCAGAGCAGAACTTTACAAGCCATTTATTCTTTCTTCCATATTGATAGCCTTGGCCTGGCAGAACAAGATGAACAATGGATTTAATATCATATGGGCAAAGAGCCAACAAAATACTTTTTTCTATGTATTTTATATATTTATGCACAGAGATTTTGCACAGCATTTGGAGTCACTTGCCCCGCCAGTTAATATTTTCTTTATAGTTACATTAGTTCTGTATCTGTGATGTCATCAGGTTTATGATGCCTGTGCAGATATTTCATGAGTTAATAGGAATCACTGCAGCCCTTAACAATTATCCAAGACCTTGATGTTGAAACAGTCCTGACTTCCCAGATGACAAAGTATTTAAACACCACATCACTCTCTAAACACTGTCCTGTCCCACTGAGACCACGTCACCAGGGATTTATTGCCACCATCTGTACAAAAGGCAAGTCATTCCTACCTCCATCTCTACAACACAAGAAGCCCACAAGCTGAGCTTTCAGGAGCTTGGACACTTCCTACATTACAGTTACAGAAGGCTTTCAGGTAGTCAATAGCATGGTGTGAAATCTGACTTTGGGTTAGTGTCTGTGTATGGTTGGTGTGAAGGAAGAGAGAGTATGTGCATGACTTGAACTTTCACTGCCTTTTGGTATGGGCCTGCACACGTGCTTATCTACAGTTGGGAGGAGTCCTTTGGAAGGCTGTATTTCTGCTCTTCTCACAATGTTTTGTGGCCATCAGACAGACAAGAAAACCTACAGCCTAAAATGTCCATAGACTAGAAGTCCAGCTGGGATTTATGAATTTGTTACCACCTTGCAGCATGGCTGCTGGCAGTCTTTGCTACAGGCATGCTCATGATGGCAGTATGAACCCCAATGGGGACCATGCAGGTAGCGAGACTACTTCTTGCCCCGTGCTCCTAAAATAAATGTAGAAGACACATGTCTGTGCTCCAAAGGCCTTGCTAATTTTTTGTCCTATCCAAATAGACTACCTACAAATAGACATCTACTGAGATGCATCCCAGAGTCCTGACAGAATTGGCTGATGAAGTCGCCAAGCCACTCTCCATGAAAAGTCATGGCAGTCAGGTGAAGTCCCCAGTGACAGGAAAAAGGGAAACTTTGTGCCGCTTTTCAAAAAGGGTAGAAAGGAAGACCCTGGGAACTAACGACCTGTCAGCCTCACCTCTGTGCCTGGGAAGATCATGGAACAGATCCTCTTAGAAGCTATGCTAAGGCACATGGAGGCCAGGGACTGAAAGCACAGTAGGCCTTTCTGGTTTTATTCCCCATGTTGGCTTGTTTTTTCCTCTAAAACTGACACTAATAATCACTTATCAATAATTCCTTCTTTCTCACTGTCACCCTGTCAAATACATTCAATAACATGAGTAAGAGAAGAGATGTAGGAGACTTGACCTAGAATTCGTAAGCCAAGCTACATTTTCTCTAGTGGTTTGATCAACACACCCAACATTGATGAATGCCTTCATTTATTTAACACCCCATATAGTGAATAAGAGCTGTGGGTATTTGATGCCCAAGAAAGCTAACTATTTTATAATTGCACTTAGGTAACAATTTTGTTGTTGATGCATGAAGTGGAATAAAATCCTGTTTTCTCATTAAACTAACTGCATCATCTCCAGAAATTAATGATTGTTAAGAAAAAGCCTAAATTAAATTTAAAAAATCCACACTGGATAGTGGTGAAAGTGAGACTCCATTATGCACAGGGGACTGAGGTATGAAGATGAAAATTATACTCTTTAAATCACTCTTATTTTCTTTGTAAGGCATCTATGTACACGTGTGCATGTGATCAATAAATAAACAAACCAAGAAGATACTGTCCGCTGTGGGAAGGGCAGTAAGGAAACACAAGGATTCTTGCTGTCTGTGTGACAAGGGATGATATGAACTAGGACTAGGGAAGATACCAAGGATCCTGTAAGGCAGACTGCAGATAGTCCTTATTGCCCAATGGGCTCTTTCTCTACCAAAGCCTTTTACTTTCAATGCAGTGTCAGAAAGACCTTACTTAACCAGTCCAGAAACACTGTTGTTAGCTGCTAGGGAACTTCAGTGTTCAGAATCGGGACATGTGCTCCAAGGCATTGCTCTCCAATTTACAATAAATTATCTCTTGATATTTTACAGCCCACAGCTGTCTTAGACCCCAGGCTGAGAAGCAGTTGCTTCAAGTTTACCATCTGAATAGCTTCATCTTGTTCTAGTCATACTTCAGAATTCACTCTAGTATGGTAAGAATGCTTAATTTTGCAGATCAGAGAAGTGTAGGTGCATCAAACCTTGGAAATCCAGGAACAACTGGAACAGGTTGCCCAGAGAGGTAGTGGAAGCCCCATCCCTGGGAACATTCAAGGCCAGGTTGGATGGGGCGCTAAGTAGCCTGATCTAGTTAGCGGTGTCCCTGCTCCCTGCAAGGGGGTTGGACTAGATGACCTCTAGGGGTCCCTTCCAACCTAAAACATTCTCTGATTCTATGATTCCACCCTTTCCTGCATAGCAAGTGTAGCTCTGCGGGATGTGCATGTTACATGGAGAACCAGGAATGATGTCCTGCCTCTGGAGAGTGTTCCCACCTGGAGCTGTTCTTACCAGAACACCTGGAGAACATTCCCAAAATGACAGGTTGATTTCAATGTAATTATTGCTACTCATAGTGATGGGGCTGAACTGTCCCACTTGCCACGTGGCAGCAGAGCCCAGTGGGAAGCCAGTAGCTTCTGTGGGAATAAGAGCATGGCTATGTTTTCCAAGTTTCTTGACTATCTTTGAGACACCAATGCTTCTCTTGGTGGCAGATGTGGATAGACTGAGACTCAGTTGCCACAATGGAGGAGCTAGATCTTTGGAACAAAATATGACCAGTAGCGAATTCAGAGTTCATGTCTTTGCTTCATGTTTGGGCATCACTTAACCAGTTTCTTTCTGTTCCTTGACAGTAGGAAGTGGGGTTTCTTTCAAGCCATCCCCTCTGTCTTTGAAGCTGCTTAGGCAGGGGTCCCCTCTTTCAGTGCTCTGCATGTGCTGCTCAGGACACTGGGGAAGTCTTAGTCCTGGAGCAGCTTTCTAAGGACCTGCTGCAGTAAAAGTGAAAGCACAGACCATCCCTTGCTTTGGCGGCGTAGTCTTAGTAGGTCTGGCCAGTAGAGACCCAAGGGCCTTTTGGGGTATTTATTGAACAGTTCCAGTTTTAATGTTTTAATAAATGGAAGATCTTTTTCTAACACAAGAGAAAGGTGTTTTGGGGAATGGAGGGTTAAATGAGATGGCATCCTAGTCTACAACTTTTTCCAAACGATTTCTTACCTTGACAAGTGACCTGGAAAAAGTAATTGAGAAGAGAATACAATATTTTGAGCTTCATCCACAAAGAAGCTTTTCTTTTTGATATCTACAACTCATACGTTGAAATAATTTTACCAGGAAAATGCAGAGAAAATCTTTTGTGCAAGGGTGCCCTTTGAAAGATTCATTCCTTACACATTTATAATAGATACAGGAGTTTCTGAGGTTTCACCTTTAATCTGTGTCTTCTGTATTTTGTTTGTTTTATGTTTTCCAGTTAACATCAGTAATGTGTATAAATACATAGAAAACTATTGGGCAAAATATTTTTATCTAATAAATTTTGATGGCAGATCATAAAACATTGTGTAAAGATGCACAGAGATGATTTTAAAATACTCACCACACAGCTAGAAGCCCATTATAAATTAGAGCACACAAGATTTATATGCTACTCTGCAGCATGTTTGAACACAATTTGAATAAAAGTTAAGCAGGAAAATGCATTCTGCAATTATTTAATAATGCAATAGGTATCATTGTTGCTTTAATTTGTTGAGGCATTGTTTTTCCTTTGTAGAACCCTAAAAATAATGCTGCCAACAGAGTCATGCTTTGTCCAGGTGGTGCTATTAATTTGTATTGGTCTGGTTATTTCCCATTGGCTGAGTCCCAGTATATGGAGCCTTTGCATTGCTAATCAGGATTTAGGCTTTTTTGTTTCTTTTTCTTTTTCCAGTTGCATTTAATAGTTTGCTAATGGGTTTTCTTTGGAAGGCTCTGGAAGTTTTTTGTGTTTTCTCACTTAGATCAGAAATGTTGTTACAAGAATCCTTAGTATCTTATATAAGACCATCATTCTCAATGCGTGCACCCATCCCCAAGGGGAATTTACTGAGTCGTTAATCCCACTTCCACAAGATGAAGTCCTACCTGCCCTTCTCATCTAGTCCTTTACTGAATATTCATGGCGACTTTTTTTATTTATTTAGGGGAATTGCTTTTTTCTAAGTTGATATATTTGTGAAATGGGCAGTGTGCTTTCCTCTGGGAACGCCGCTAGCTTTTGGCTCAACTTTTGCAGAGAAAGTGGACTATGTAATCCCTGTGAAAGAACACATTTGGTCAGAGAAATGTTTCCTATATCCATTGTGTCTTAATTCAGTCAGCCTGTCTCTGCACTACTTTCTCAAGCCCAAGAGAACGCAGTGTCACAGGGAATGTCATCATTGCCTGGCTATATGCTCCTGAAAAAGCAGCTAAAGGCAGATACAGGCTCTGGTCTCCAGATGTGTTCCTGTGGCTCCTGGAGATGGTGGGCCACAGTGCTGGGCAGATGGGAATGCTTTGCCTGTGGCCCCAGAGATACAATATCTGAGTTGGCTTCACTTCTTGCAATACTTGAGGTGACACCCAGGAGCATGCAAAGAGCACCTAGAAACCTCCCGTGTCTTTCTGTGTCCCCCCACCCAGGCGTTCAGCATTGTGTTTCAGAAAGCCATTGAGAGGGCAGCCCCAGATGAGAGCCTCGCGGTGCGCGTGCTGAACCTCATTGACAGCATTACCTTCTCCGTGTTCCAGTACACAACCCGGGGGCTGTTTGAGTGCGATAAATTGACCTACACTGCTCAAGTTACCTTCCAGGTAAACATCACCATTTCATGTAATTTGTATGCAATGATTTATTTTACAGGCAAAGATATTGGCATGGAAAGAAAGCACAAACTGTCACAGCTGTGGCCTTCAGCACCAGGGCAGCAAATACAAGGGCTGGGGAACTGATTTTCTTCTCTGCCTCTCTTGCTGATAACAGTCACAGATGCTGTGTTTGATTTGCATTATGCTGACAAATGGTTGCTTGAGAGAGTAATACCTGCTTGCAGCACCTGAAAAAAAGAGCAAGGCAAGCTGGTTTTGAAGGCTTATTTGTTTTATCCAGAAGCAATGCTTGCTACATAGCTGCTGTCTTTTCTCCAGTATGTTAGTATAATTTCAGTCTACGATCTGAGCAAGGAGACCTTTGTATATCCCTGTGCTGAAATCAAATTCTATCAATAAATAGTGCTTGACATGATGTTGCAAAGTTGTTATTAAGTTTGTGCAGTGAATGACTGTGTAAATGCCCTGACATGTAGAATGCAGATATGAACGCAGTTTGGACGGCTGAAACACTGTGCAGGTCCAGCTAACCTTGGTCCAGTGATTGCCGTGACTTTTTAAATATACATAGCAAAATACTATGTGTAAAAGGGAAATTAAGTATATATATACACACATATATTTACATATTAAAAAAAATGAACTCTGACAATATATTTAGTTGATAAATATGAGTCAGCTTATATTTTGCAATGCCAGCCTTAATTCTGACCCAATGGGTACCTACATTTTCTAATATAATCTCTAAATAAAGTATTGAAGTAACACACATTCTGCTTGTAACTACAGTAAGCATTAAAAATAGCTAATGGGTCACTTTAAGCTGTCAGAAAAACCAGCATCCACAATTTCAGTGTGTGGAGGCAGTTGAGTGATGAGGCACAGGATTCTCCTATATAAAAAAGTAGTTGGCTCTTGAACCGAGTACCTTGTTACCATCATCGGTGGAAGAGATACCTGGCACACTTCAGATGCTGTTGCCCAATAGGCAATAGCGAGATACAGTCTAGGATCTGCGTCAAGGAAATGACAAAGTGACCACTCCAGCACTGTTCTTTTTCCCCCCAGAATTGGTGTTCAGGGTTTTAGAATTTGTATCTGAGACTTCAGAAGTCTGGCAGTGCACTCAGAGCGCTGACTCCAGCTGGGCTCATGAGCATGCACGGCTTTCCAGCATTACCTCGAACATTTCTCTGGCAGTCTTCCTCCATGTATTCCTGAAAGCCACCGTTGGTGTTAAAAACATTGGTAGTAGTTGAATGGCCCAGGTTCTCTTCAGTGTTTGAGACCCCAGGGGCCTGCTTATTCTCTTGATGCATGTACCATAAGGTTTTTGGGTTTTTTTAAATTTTGATTTTGTTTGTTTGTTTTTCAAAACACTTACTATGTCTCCACTTACTGTCAAAATTGAACAAGACAGCGAGAGATGGACATGACCTTCGTAGCGTGCCCTGGGGGTGCATGCTCTGGTTCCTTTCAAGAAAGTGATCTGTTCTCTAGCTGCAGATATCCAGCCCAGGGACCTGCAGCACACCCTGCAGCCTGCCTCTCTGCTGGCAGAGACTCCTCAGTGTGCTATCTATGAGCCTGGACCACAGTCCTTACTACATAGCTTTCCCAGACTTTGGTCCTCTCATGTTGCCAATCTCCATACTCATTGCTAGTCCCCTTTTGGGCAGACCCAAAACATCTACATACTATGTTTCATCACACACCCCCCAACACAGGGCACTGTGTACTTGTTAGCCACACTTGGCAGCTATATGAGTCAAATAATTAATCTGCTAGAGCTTATTGCTTCTCTGTATCCAGGATACTCAAAGTTATTTTGTTTGTTTTCAATTACAGATACTTCTGATGAGTAAAGAAATCAAAACAGTAGAACTGGATTTCCTACTAAGATACCCAGCGCACAGCAGAGTCACAAGCCCTGTAGAGTTCCTGTCTAATCACTCCTGGGGAGGGATCAAGGTACCTGTTTCACTCGGACTGTGCGATATCAGCACTCCTTATCTCCTCTAAAAGCCTTTCAGCAGCCCTCAGGTTGGTCCTTAGAGCATTTGGTGAACAGAGTTCTGATTATACGTGAGAAAAGCCACAAAAATGCTACAGAAAGTTCTGTAGGCACAAGACCAACTTTGTGGGCTCTTCATGACTGTGCCCCTAATGATCTGTGTGCTCCCAAGGTGAGTTTTCCCCCTGAGATTTAGGCTTCTCTCTCTGTAAGAGAGCAATGAGAATATCTTCTTGGTTTTGTGGTTATAAATTGTAAAGGACATGGAGATCTTCACTGTATTTGGGAGGAGGTGGGAATTTAAGGTAGGTATGACCACCTGCAGAGATGTGCTGAGTAAAGACAGCTGGCAGACCTACAAAAAATACTGCTGTGACAATGAGAAGGTCAACAGCTGGCCTGTGTTTGGAGTGAGAGGTGAGGAAGAGCATCCCAAAGAGATGTGAGTTATCCCATCTTTGCTCCTTGTTGTTAACAAACACAAATTGTGCTGGATTTGAACCTGATTCAGCAGGGTAGAATTTGTTTTCTGGAAGGGGTCAAAATATTCTTCAGATTAAGTATGCTCATTCACACTCTATTGGATCTGAGATTGTATCATTTGTTTTATTGTGGCTTCTCAACAATCTCTGGCATCTGCTGTGTTTTAAGAATCAGTTTTCTTCATAGCGTGCTGCCTTTGTGGGACATTTCTCTGGTGCTTTAAAGTAGGGAGTGAAGACATCCTGGTTTCATTGAGATAGTTCTTAAATTTTCATCTGGGACATTTTGGGTTTCCCTTTCTCTCCCTTTCCCCATGCTGAATGTATTTGGTCCTTGGAGGGTGATCAGACAAAATGTCTTCATACAGGCCCAAGACATTTCTGTTCTTATTTCCTGTTTCTTTTGGTATATGGAGCTTTCCAGAGTTTTGCAGCAGCCCTGGCTTATGGTGCCACGTGCCTTTCTGGGCAAGCACATGCTGGGCTGTGCTTTATTTGGCAAACGCTGTCTTTTAAAGTAGTACAGAGTTGGAGGTCTAAGTTGCAGACTGCAGTTCAGAAGTCAAATGAAGCCGATGTTTCTAACACAGGTCACCCCTACTGATTTTAAATGGTAGCATGGAACAATTCATGCCAGATGTGCCTGCCCTGACCAGGAGTTATCATCTCCACCTCTTCTTTGGCAGTGAGGACAGGACCTCTGCTTCATTCTGCTCATGCATGCGACCTAGCTTTTGCTGAAAATGTCGGAATCACATTTTCAGCCATAAAATAAGCTTGGAACTTCTCACTAAACCAGCCCTGTTCATCCTCTAAAAGGCGTATTTCCATAATAAAGGAGGAATTAAAAAAATTCTACACCCTTTCTTTAAATCATGTTTTGTTCAGCAGTGACATTGTGCCATTCAGACAGCAGCAGCATTATTTCTGTTCCTCCTTTGAAGAAAAATTAAACAGGCAATTAGGGTCAACACACATAATCAGGGGTAGTCAGCCATCAAGCCCACGCAATACATGCTTTGCAGCAGTGTACCTGAGCTTTGGGCTGTGCAGCCTTGTAGAGATTGTAGATGTACATAGATATTATTGCTTGAACTCTCAGGCTTTCTCAGCTCTGCTCTGTCCCTGCCCATGTTCAGCATGGGGATATATAGGGTGAATGGGACATTTCAGTTCCTCTGGAGTCCTTCTGGGTTGGAGTTCTTCACTGCTTGGGAGCATTCTGTACTGCAAAGCTGCTTTCTACTTCAGTCCTCTGAGTCTTCTCTGGAAGGTGAACTTCCTTCTACCAAGTTTCAGAAGTTTCGGGCTCTGAGTCTCATTTTGGGGATCCTTTTATGTAGCTTAAGAAACATATTACCCTTGCAGTGCCCAAGGATGCCTTTGCTAGTCCTGCCTGCAGGTGGTACATTCTCCAAGCAGACACCTGTTAAGTTTGCAGTGAGTTTTCTTCTCTGTGAGATGATCCTTTCTGTGCAGGCCAGTTCCAATTCAGTGTGGGTGAAACGGCCTTTCATGTTCCCCATGTGATTCATCATGATTGTTGCAGCTGCATCACTACTGTGATGAAGTCAGTACAGTCTCCAGGTCAAGGTCATAAACACCAGAAGGAATAATAACACCTGATCATTCACTCTTCAGACTTTATTCTTGCATCACTGTTTGATGTACCCGGGAGAACAGGCATTTCTGTGAACAGTGTGTCCAAGTACATAGAACACCGTGTCAGAGCCTGCTGAGACCAGTGGTAAGGAACATGTACTCATAGAATCGTAGAATTGTTTGGGTTTGAAAAGACTTTTAAGATCATCCAGTCCAATCGTTACCCTAACCCTGCCATCCCACCTAAACCCTGTCCCTAAGCACCTTGTCTGCCCAGCTTTTAAATACCCCCAGGGACTCATCACGGCTCAAACAGAGTCAGTGGCATCACTGAAGATGGTCTTCGCCCCTTCCCCCAGCTATGTGTCCCAGCTTTGTCCCCACCAGCAGCCTTGCAATCTGTCACCCCTCAGCTATCCAAAACTGATGCAATGTTAGGTATTTATCACATAGTCATTGTGTGTGTGGAGTTGTTGGAGACTTATCCTGAGGGAGGCAGGAATTAGGAATGAACTGTCACCTGAAGTTGCATTGCAGTAACTGATTCTTTTTGAGATGATCCCTTCCCACTCACCTTGTTCTCTCCCACTGAGTCTCTCAGTTTTTTGGTTGAAATGGAAACCATGTGATGCCAAGAAGACACCGCTCTGCACACGCTTTCGCTGAGCTGTGACGTGTCAGGATGTCAATGTGTCCAAGTGTGCTGCCCACGTCAGGTGTCATCACCCTCAGTGTGTATCCACAATCCCCATGAACTGCACATCTCAAAGAGTTGCAGTCACCAGTCAGTAATTGTGCTAATTTTATGTATTTCAGGATTTTCAGATAGTGAATTCTATATTCTCAGATACTGAGTACTCTTCAGATTGTCTTTTGTGATAATTCTAGTATTGATTTTACTATAAATAATATGGCTCGTGCCAACTTTATTAGTGTTTATGTTCTTTAATGTGTGTTGGTTTATTAGCCTTTGAGTTTTTGGCAACTCCAGTTACTTGAGGCATGGTTTTAGTACAATCACATTTTGTCACACACTGCTATAATTAGGTTAATTAGTCATGGCTTCTATACAGCTTATTAGCAGGCTAAAATCTCCTTTTCTTTCATCAGGAAGATTAAGTGCTGTAATAAATTGTTTCTTCAACAAAGCTTGAGCAAAGTACATTTCAGATTCATATTTCAAATTCAAAGTGGAATTTAGCATTCTGCTAATTTTTCACAGAAACATTGAAAATGCTCCTGCACAAAGTGCTCCTCTTGCCAGGGGTTTCAGGCCAGGGTAGTAATGCCAAAAGAAATCAATATTGATATTTGTCGCCCATTCTGTGCCTCTCATTTTGGGCACATTAACTTCAAAGGAAACCTCATTAAATGTTGAGGTCTCTGGGCATGCAAATAGCCTCGTGTGACTTGGCTTATTATTTATTGGTGGGTTTTGATTAATAATATATATAGGCTAATAGTCCTTTGCAGTTGTGCAGCTCATGATTCTAGAGCGTCTGACACATGTTTATGATTTAGCTTCCCATATTGATTCAGTAAAAAATTAAACAAAAAGTTTCACAGAGCTTTTTGCTGTAATATGTGTGCCAGGGAAGCTTAATATTTACCACTGAATGAAGAAACCCATGTACCTGTCTAGAGGGGCATGGTTTGTAGGGAAGGGTAATCTCTTTTATTAGATCTGCCAATACACTTGGAAAAAACAGGTAAGTTTCAGGCTGTTTAGTGCTTCTTTAAGCCTGAAACAGGAATTGAATTCAAACTAAGAACAAGTCCAGAAAAACTGCTCTGAGCATAACTTGATTCTGTTCATGAGTCAGCCTGTATGGGAGAAAAAGCCATACCTGTGGAGCCCCTGTGGAGAGGCACGTTAGTTAGCTCTGGAGCAAGGGGAGATGTTAGCAAAGGACACAGTCATTAGCCTCAGTGCAAACACTGCCTCTGGCTTATTGAAGGGTTAGTTAAGAGCAGGAAGGGAGAAAAATTCTATCATTTAATGAAAGTAGTGCCTTTGCTGAGTCCCTGGCTCTGGTGTTCAATAGGGTTGGTTGTTTCAGTTTTAAGGCCTGTTTTTTGCAGGTACTTAATAGTGATCTCTTGAGAAGTCAAAAGTATTCTTTTACTCTTAATGAGGTTTTCTGTCTTTTTAAAATTTCTTTTATTACAATATGTTATGCTTTCCTCACCCTCTATGTTCTGGGTACTTAGCTTAAAAGTTTTTATTTCGGTCGGTACTTCTGAAAAACTTTTTTGGGTGCATGCAACGTTATCCATTTCTCTAGACTTGGCTGCTGATTACTTTACCAATAAATGTGTGGCCACACCTGAGACCACAATGGTACAGTGACGCTACTGCTTGAACTGCAGAGGACATCAGGCCACAGCCATGTGCGAATGGCCATTTCGATATCCTTGTTGTAAGATTGAACTTACATAGAATCAGTGTAGAGGTTATCCACTGCAGAGTTTTTCCCCCATTTTTTTCTTCTTTCTTTCACTGGAAGGTCTCTGGTGTCATAAGATGAACATGTTGATGCCTGCGTGGGAGATGAGTATTGCCTAGATTGAATTGGGGTTTATGGTTGGTGGATTTTATGGTTATTGCATTTTCCAGACTTTGTCTAGATGAACACGTACGATGGGCCAGCAGCTGTTTTCTGGCCCTGGCAGCATGTGACTTGGCACAGTGTGAATCCATACAGTGAAACTCCCCTTGGCTCCCAAACCAGAGAGACCTCATATATTGTTTGCTGTGGACAGTCCCTGGAGTGTCCTACCCTCCCCCCCGCCCCCAGGCTATGTCCAGGCATTTTCTGAGAGAAAGTGAGTTGGCCAAATTCAAAAGTGAGCCAGCAGCATACTAGCAAACT